CCCCAAAACCCCAAAACCCCAAAACCCCAAAACCCCTTAAAATCCATAAAATATTGAAATTATATTAAATTTGTAGGATTATGAAAGAAGAAGATACTTCAGATATACATACACTTGCAGTAGGCAAAGACTGTTGTGTTAATAAAGAAGTTTGAAAGAAAAGACTTCAAGAGCATGATAAGACTCCTAAGATTAGAAAAGCTCAGGATATGTACAAAGAGGACAATAAGAAATTGGAGAAGAAAAATAAATGGAAAAGAGGACAGAAGACCTTGAAGAGAAGTATTAGACTAAACAAAGAATTGCATTCCATATTTTGACAGAGGAAGTTAATAAAAGATTAATGGTGCTTAAATAAGGACCAGATTTGGACTACTCTCGAGTGACAATTTATTGGAAATCTTTGAGGCATCCTTGGAGTATCATATTTTGTAAGCAATAGTACTAGTTGGAGGGCTTCTAGAGTCAAGCATAAAAGATAAATTGTAAAGGTAGCAATATTCTGAACTTCCGTTGCTTTCTTCACTTAGCATAGCTTTGCTAAAGCAAGACAAATAAATGTTAAAGGCAAGCTTAAACTTATAGAGAAATGTTCTACAGGATACTTGTTCATCAAGCATTGTTCCAATTTCGGGTCTATCATTGCATAAACTTATTGGCCAATAAAAATAAAATAATGTTTATAATTTTGAAGGTAAATAAGAGGGCAATAGAAATTAGTGAAGGAAATATTGAATCAAGAAAGAGATCGTTGTAAAAAATTTTTGTAGACAACAGGAAACATCCTCACTATTTTACTTCCTTCAAGTAGCTATTTCCTTAAGATAGATGCTATACTGTCATTAATGAAAATCTGAATCATCTGGGGATCTACATAGGTAAATAAGAGAGGAAAGAATGAGTTCATATATAGTTTTTGGGGAGGAAAAAGCGTTTAAACTTCTATTCTATTTCTTCTGCATTTATAGACGTATTTTAATATTTCTGCCCAGGGTTGTGCATAAATTTATATTTTATTGGATTGCGGAACATATTTACTACACCCCCAACTTTGTTGACATAAAGAATATTCATCGTAGTTTAGAGTTTAATAGTAACAGCACTAACGGTTTCTTTTTGAGGTCTCCAATTCCACCAGAGCTGCCAAATCTACAACAAGAATACTTTTGCACCCTAAGACCTACTTTAACACTCCAGAAACTGTATTCCTGAACTGATATAATCTAAACTATCTTTCTTAACCAAGTGTTGTAATCTAAATTTCGTATAGCTTTCTATGAGCTGATCTCTAGACACTCTCGTTATCTTTTATATCTTAAATCAGTAATTACTGTTTCAAACAACCAAGATTTAGGCAAACAAATAAATGCACTTTAGCTAGATTCTTACAGCTAAAGCTCATTGACCAAAATTTATAAAGAATAATCTTCTTCAAAAACTCAAGAATTAGGGGCTAAGAAGAGTAATCTTGAAACCTCTATTAACTTACTAAAGAACAAGAGTTTGGAAATGAAGTCACATAATGAATTTGGAAACCACTAGAGAATAAGAGATGCATTTTATGAATCATGCGAAGGCTAGGTACTTCCTGAGCACAAGGAAATTGGCACAATTTGCGTGCTAGAGATTATTCACATAATACTTCAATATAACGAAAATTTTTCGGGGTTTTGGGGTTTTGGGGTTTTGGGGTTTTGGGGTTTTGGGG